AATCTTTTCTCCATTTATCATGGTGTTGCTTATTGGTCCAGTTGTTAGGATTTTTGTTTTCTTTATGTTGAAGTGTAATTCATACTGAAGGCTTTGTGCTCGATCTTCATCAGGAAGTGCTTCAAATCTTCGTCACTTTCAGCAAGCAAGGTTGTGTCATCTGCATAACACAAGTTGTTATTGAGTCTTCCTCCAATCCTGATGCTCCGTTCTTCTTCATATAGTCCAGTTTCTCGGATCATTTGCTCAGCATACAGACTGAATAGGTATGGTGAAAGGATGCAACCATGACACACAGCTTTCCTGACTTTAAACCACGCAGCATCCCCTTGTTCTGTCCAAACAACTGCCTCTTGATCTATGTACAGGTTCTTCATGAGCACAATTAAGAGTTCTGGAATTTCCATTTTTACCACTGACTAGCTGTGGCATTTTGAGCATCTGTTTTCCATGTGTAAAATGGATAACGATGCCTACTTAACGGGGCTAATGTAAGGATTCAATGACAGTATATGTAAACCACAGATACTGGAAACATAAGAAGCACTCAATAATTGATTGCTTTTTCTATCCACACTCTCTGTCTCTTAGCAAAAGGCAGGCAGTAAGAGCACAGAAGGAGCCCCTTGGGTCACATAAATGGTTAAGCACTAAACTACTAGCCGAAAGGTTAGCAGTTCGGACCCACCCAGAGGCCCCTTGGAAAACAGCCTTGACGATCTGCTTCCAAAAAGTCACAGCCATGAATATCTTATGGAGCAGTTCCACTCTGCACACATGGGGTCACCATGAATCAGAATCAACTCAACAGGCAACTTAACAACAACAAGAACACTGAGCTCGGTGCATCCCTTTCCTCTGCGGAAACTCTGGTGATGGGGCACAGGCCTTCAGTGGACAGAACTTGACCTTGGTGGTTTTCTTTTTATGATCATGATTCCAGGTGTTAATTAGTTACCAGTTATTTGCAATCTCAGGCACTTCTTCATCATCTCAGGTCACAGGGAGTCAAGTGAGTGAGGCTGGAGACTTAAGTTCTTGGTTTGAAGGGTTTATGGCCATGCAGTTAGCAGGCGATTGTGCACTCCACTGGGCAAGGTCCACATTTCATTTTCTGTATCTGCCCGTGCCTGGCACATAGTGGGCAACTAGTTGGCATGTTGGCTGAACTGCAGTAAAATAACAATTTTCTCTAAAGGTATTGAATGCAGTGACTTGCTTTAACCTCAGTGAGAGCATTTTTCAAACTGACCAGTGAGAAAACTGTCTGAAGCTGGGAGGAAGGAAGCCCTTGGCCAGTGGGAAGAGGGAAAACCCTTCCCCAACTTTTGTCAGACACTCTCCCAGAGTCTCATAAAAGCCCAGGTCACGACCTAATCAGGACTGAGCTAGGAGGCTTGCAAACCTCTCCCACCCATTTGCCTTTCTCAGGGATCTTGTCGGCCTCCTCTCCCTCCCCTTTCTACCCTTTTGAGACACCAGTCCCTTCTGCCTCACTGACAGGGTTCTGCCCTCAATCAGCTATCAGTAAATCTCTAAACGACTGATCTTGCTGTTCCCCCCAGGGCTATCAGCATATTAACAGGGGCTGAAAGAGGTTTAGAACAAGAGCTGGCAAACTTTTTCTATAAAGGGCCGAAGAGTAAATATTTTAGGTTTTGTGGGCCATATAGTCTGTTGTGACTATTCAACTCTGCCTCTGTAGCATAAAAGCAGTTGTAGACAATAATGTAAATGAATGTGTGACTGTGTTCAAATAAACTTTATTTACAAAAGCAGGCAACGGGCCACAGTGTGCCAACCCCTGGTTTTTAGAAAGGTTCACTACGAGTCGGAATCAACTCGACAGCCTTGAGTTTTGGATTTGACCCTCCAGATGGTGGAGATTGAGCTAGTGGTAACAATGATCACAAATGCAGCAGCAGCAGCAAATAACATGTACATAGTGCTTACTATGGGCTGGGCACCCACATGAGGGTCTAATGTGTACTTAGTCACTGAATTCTCACAACAAGTCTATGAAGTAGTCACTACTATTATCCTCGTTTTACAGATTAATAAACTGAGACGTGAGGTTAAGAAACCTTCCCAAGGTCACAGAGCTACTGGCCAATACACCTGAAAACACAATCTGAGAGGCAGCTTTCTCTACCTAGGTCTGGTCCTGGCAGCCCAGGGACAAGGCCTCCACCATCAAGCTGCAGCATGGTGGCCACCAAGTTCTACAGGGTTCAGTCTACAACAGTTTACTCAGAAGATCTGGCCTCTAGGGAAATATTTCCCAAGCTACAGATTCCTTTGAAATCCTCTGGAAAGCTTGTTGAAGTACTGATTCCTAAGCTTAAAAACTGGAAAGTTGGACATTCTGATTCAGGTCAGAGGTGGAGGCTCAGGAATCTGCATTTTTAGTAAGCACTCCCTCTTTTTAAAGAATTGTCATTGGCTAGCCTGACGGATATCATTGCCCAGGAAGTCAAGTTGGACCATGGCATCTGGGAGGAAAGACTAAATACTTTGGAATTATTAAGGGAAGGGAAGACATAATCAGGCCAGGCATTCGTGGTTCGGTGGTAGATTTCTCACCTTTGGAATTGTCTCGATGGCAATGGATTTGGTTTGGTTTGGTATGTGGGAGACTGGGGTTTGGTTCCTGGCCATTGCATCTCAAGGGCATCCACCACCCTCTGTCAGTGGAGGCTTGTCTGTTGCTGTGATGCCGAACAGGATTCAGCGGAGTTTCCAGACCAAGATAGACTAGGAAGAAGGGCCTGGAGATCTACTTCCAAAAATCAGCCAAAGAAAACCCAAAGGATCACAATGACACAGTCCACAGTTGATCATGGGTATGGTTCAGGACCAGGGTCAGCAGTTCATTCCATTGTTCTTGGGATTCTCATGAGTCTGCGGGCAACTTGTGAGCAACTAATAACAACGATTTACCTGATAGGAAATGTGATTCTAAAGAGGAAGAGGTCTAGTTATTTTGTACTGCCCCTAAAGATAGGGTACGAGAAAAAAGGCTTAAATGGCAAAAGGGATGCTTAATTATTAGATATAAAAACCTTCCAGGTCATCTGAGGATTCTTGAATCCTAAATGGTGTTAAGGAGTGATACAGTGTTAGTCACAGAGCATAATGCCAAAGCTATGGTCTAGAGATGAGACAAGCACAGACTGATGAAATTCTCCAGGAAGAGCTGATGTTGGAGAAAGAGTGGGTGGGGCAGGGCTCAGTTTGGGGATTTTTCTTTGTCCCAGGAGAAGTCATCTGATTTTGAGGTTATTTAATGGAAGCAAGATGATGATAAATCACACATGTAACTTGACCCAGAAAACATAAGGTTCTGCCCTCTTAGAAGACAAATGGGATTTGTAATCCCATTTCCTTTTGAAAAACCACAAAATTGTTTTGGGTACAGCTGATTCTTTTATGCAAGTGGCCAGCAGTTCTGTTCAGGGCCAATAGCATTATCTGACACTTCAACAGGAATCTGAGTAAGCACAAGGGGAAGGTGATAGGAGGAAAGGTAATGTGAGGACATTATTGGAAATTTTGGGGGTCCTTGATCAAAGGTAATAGGCTGGCTAGGAGGCTTCCTGAATTATTAGCAGGTCGGCTCCGGCTGAATCAAATTTTTTAAAAATATAAGTTCATCTTCTAATTACCAGTGGTGAGAGTGGGAAGACAGAGTGGCAGGCATTTTTTAAAACACTGTCACGTATCACACACTAATGGGGCAGCTTTGCAAGTAAGAATGTTGGTCACTGATGACCTGTGAATGGATGGACTAAATGACTTTGCATAGCCAGGAAAGGAAGAAAACTAATTTTTTTAGTTGAATTTCTAAAAATAGCTGTTTTCCAACCCCCTACAAAGTTTCCTACCATGACTAGCATTTTTTTTCTGATTGAAATAGTATCAATTATTATACCAACAAGATGACTTACTAGGTGCTTATGATGTGGCAGGCACCGTGTTAAATGCTTTATTTACCTATGTTATCTCCTTTAACTCTCACAACAATCCATAAAGTAAGAATTATTGCCCTGATTTTACAAAAGACAGAGCTGGCTTGGGGAGGTTAAGTGCCCAGACCCTGAAAAATATCATAATTGAGAAACAGGACAGTGTTCAATCTTAGTTAATTAGCTAACATTCATCTATCAAATTTTTATTAAGTGCCTCTTCGGTGCCAGACATTGTATTAGGCCCAGCAGTGAACCAGACAGACACTGCCCTTGCCCTCACGGAGCTTAGAGCAGAGGTGAACAAAACGAGGAGGGAGCATCCACCAGCATTTTGGTAGATTTCAAAGTAAAGAGTCCATCAATTGGTGAATAAATAAACCAATTGTGGTACATTTATAAAACAGACTACTACTCACAATAGACTCCCAAAATCAGTCATAGAAAACCCTATGGAGCACAGTTCTACTTTGACACACACGGGGTCACCATGAGTCGAAATCAACTTTCAGCAACTGATGGTACCGCTCAGCAATACAAAGAAATCAACCACTAATATGTGCAACAACATGGATGAATCGCAAAAGCGTAATACTAAGTGAAAGAAGCCAGCCACAAAGCCATATACTGTGTGATTCCATTTATATGAAATATTAAAAATGGCAAAATTATCATAGAAGAATACAGATCAGAGGCTGCCAAGGGCCAGGGAGTGAAGAGAGGGGACTGACTCTAATAGGCAAGAGAAAGCTTTTGGGGGTGATGGAAATGTTCTATAGCTTGATTCTGGTGGTGGTTATAAAACTGTATGTGAATTTACACTTAAAATTGGTGAATTTTATTGTGTGAAAGTTATACCTCAATAAAGCTGATTTAAAATAAAAGTTAGAAGCCCTGGGGTCCACATTCCACCTCTCCCACTGATGTAGCAGAAGACATTGGGCATAACACTGAACCTACGTTTCAATTTCTTCATTTTTAACGTGGAGCTAATGAGACCTGCAGGTTTCCCCTGGCTGGCGCAAATGGGTAAGTGCTTGACTACCAGCCAAAAGGTTTGTGGTTCAAACTTACCCAGAGGCACGTTGGAAGACAGCCCTGGTGATCTGCTTCCAAAAGGTCAGAGCCTTGAAAATCCTATGGGGCAGTTCTACTCTGCACACACGGGATTCCCATGAGTTGGAATCAACTAGACAGCAACTAACAACAACAACGAGACTTACTGTGCTTCTCTTATTACTAGGTCAAGAGAATATCAGACGGGCAGGTGAAAGCCTTTGAAATGTTTTAAATGCTATGTGTCTTAGTTATCTAGTGCTGCTAAAACAGAAATACCACAGGTGGATGGCTTTAACAAAGAGTGATTTATTCTCTCACAGTCTAGGAGGCTAGAAGTCCGAATTCAGGGTGCCAGCTCCAGGGAAGGCTTTCTCTCTCTGTCGGCTCTGGAGGAAATTCTTTGACATCAGTCTTCCCTGGTCAAGGAGCGTCTCAGCACAGGGACCCCAGGTCCAAAGGACATACTCTTCCCCTGGCTCTTATCTCTTGGTGGTATGAGGTCCTTATGTCTCTCTGCTCACTTTTGTCTTTGATATTTCAAAAGAGATTGATTTAAGACACAACCTGATCTTGTAGATTGAGTCCCGCCTTATTAACATAACTGCCTCTAATCTCACCTCATTAACATCGTAGAGGTAGGATTTACAACACAGGAAAATCACATCAGGTGGCAAAATGGTGGACAATCATACAACTCTGGAAATCATGGCCTAGCCAAGTTGACATACTTATTTTTTGGGGACACAATTAAATCCATAACACTATGTAAGTATGTAACTTATTTATTATTGTTCCCTCACTGAGGACTATTCTATCCCAGTTCTCAGAGGTTAGACTGAATTTACTTTGATAGGTTTCTGAACATTTTGGTTTTTGATCTCTTTGTAAGAAGGGCAGCCTCAGGGGTCAGCATGTTTTAGAGAAGACCCAGTCATCTGGTTGGGATTTGGACCCATCAAGTGGCTGAACAGATGAAAACAACATCTTCTGAAGCTTTTTGCCAATGACCACACATCCCGACAGAATTAACAAGTCCATGTCCCCTGTCCTGCTGGGTGAGGGACCAACGCTGAGGGTGGATCCAAGGACCCTGGTCACTGAACAAAAAAGCAATTGATGGTTGGCTTTGTGTTTATAACAGCTCCTTTGTTCTCATCCAGGGGTTTAACTCCTTAGTGCTGGCTATTTTCCTGAGGAAGCAGAAATGTTTTCTTCTCAAATCTGAAAACAATTCCTCTGCCACCAACTTTATTTTATTTATTTTACAATTCAATGTGCTACCAATTTTTAACTATTGACCTTAAGAAGGAGCATGAGTATCACGGATAATCCATGTTGACATATTAAACATCCAGCCTAATTGGACCCAGTTGCCAGTATGCACTAGACCCCATGCTGAACACTGACAGGGAAACCAGTAAGTATATTACACATGGCTTGTCCTCAAGGCCTATAAATTAAACTTTTCCTGAGAGTTCAGTCTCTTCATTTACTGGATCAGGAAAACAAAATATTTATAAAATTAAAATATGTCCATTACAGGGGTATTGAAAATTTTTTAGCTATAAACTAGATAAAGAAGAAAAGAAACACCATCACTATTCCTACTACCCGCTGTTGACATATAGCCTGTTTCCTTCCGGGTTTTTCTTGTTTATATATACGTATTTTATAATAAAATATTTTCTTATCCACTTAAATTTTGACCACTAGGGCTTACAAGAAGTTATTGAACTGGAATGTCACCTGTTTTCCTAAATTATCTTTCTCAAGAGAGCTCATCAGTATTCAGTCCTCGCTCAATGGGACTTGCACCAATCCAGAGCCCCACCAAAAACACTGTGGATCCTCAGATGTCTCAGCTTTTAAAAGAACAATTACATTTTCTTTTATTCACAACTAATAGTTATTCAAAGCAAAAAACTGGGGCTAAATTGCTAACCTTAATCCCACTGCCCAAAATAACCTCTGCTAGCATCTTGGTGGAGCCCTGGTGGCGCAGTGGTTAACAGCTCAGGCTGCTAACCAAAAGGTTGGCAATTTGAACCCACCAGTGCCTCCGTGGAAACCCTATGGTACCAGTTCTACTCTGTTCTATAGGGTTGCTATGAGTCAGAATCCACTCAACAGGAACAGGTTTAGCATCTTAGTGTATACCCTTCTAGATTTTTCCCATGTTTATT